TCGTTTAGATGTCTCAAAGCGTTTCACAGAATATACTGTAAAGTGAATTGACTGTATATTTTGTGAGCGAAATGCATTCATCTTGGTAACAAGATCAAGGTGAAAAAAGGAGAATTTCATCCTTAGCTGTTCCAACACAATTACTGGAGGAAAAGAACATGCAGAAAAATAGATGAGTTATTTATTGAGCTCCTTGATGCAATCTGATTTCAACTCAGATGAACTATATCCAGGGAAAGGCCACTTTCTGTAGACAAGGCCACAAAAACACAGCAATGCATATTTGATTTCCTCACTCTGTAAGAAAGCGATGAGGAAGCACATCCCTTTAAAATGAGAGAATCTGCTCAGTCTAAAGCCACAAAATTAAAGTCTGTTCATTTGAAAGTCGGTGGTGAGTGAGAGAGAAGTGAAGTGGGGACTTTTTGCCAAGTTAATTGGACTTTGGGCCCAGTAGCAGAATTGCAGAGGAGTGCTCTCGCTATGGCAACACAACCGAGGGTCTGAGGCCAAATTGTGAGCAACATGGAGTAATTATGGGAGAAAGAATCGAGGATTACACACACCTAGTGTAACTAGAGCAGGTGCCCCACCTGTGAAACAAACATACACAAATGCAAACATTCTTCTTATTTTCAAAGCAAAGCTAACATAGGCGTTTAGCGCAAAAGTAACTGCAGTGCAACTAAAAGGTTTTGACCACTCATATCAGGATCTGTTTCTCCAGTCCGTCTGCACTTGGGCACATCACTGATAACAAAGCTGCAAATAGTTTTATTGATTCAATCTCAAATTCATGTACTGTACTCCTTCAAATTCCATTATCAAGAAATGCTAATTTTGCTTGAGCTGAAAAGACACCAACACAGAAATGCTGGTGGTTAAATACATTGCTTGACATACACAGAACGCAAACCCTCTTGCCCAATTCACCTAAGCTGTTACAAAATGCTTTTGGCTGTTCAGGTCACTGAACATCATCCTTTGTAATATTATATCCAGTGACTGGCTACCACAACTGCTATCACGCAATTGGCTTGAATTCAAACCTGCTATGAAAAACAGATCCCAGAATCCACCTACCAGATTGAACACTTCAATATCCAGCATTGGGCAGTCCAATATCAGGCTCACTCTGCAAAGGGTTTTGTTAATGTTTAATCTGACTCTGACATGGTATTTTAGTAAATGTCATGTTCACCTGGAATAATCTGATTCCTTAAGTGGACATTTTTAACGTGTGAAACGACAGAGCGAGTGTCAGCAAGCTGAATGACCATGAGAAGAGGAGAAAACATCAACAGATATCCATACATATGCACTCTCCAGCAGAGGCTAGCAGAAGATGGCAGAGTAAGAACACATTTTAAATAGAAAGCTCGTGGCATTTTTATAGCACCTTGCATTGAAGACCTCAAAGTACTACACAGTAATTACAAGAGTAGCAACAATCTATTTGTCACGAAATTGCTGCCAATGCTAGAATTTTATTGTAATTTATATTTTGTTAAAAGTGAGTTACACTCATAATTAACTTCAATGATCTGAACTACAATCATTTGTCACAGCAGTATTCTACAAATGATCACATTACTGACATTTTAGCATTTTAATTCATTAAAAAGCATTTTAAAGGAGCTTTGGAAAGGACAATGTCACACTGAAGAGAACAGTGTCAATTCAACTTTGAAAAATGTGACTGAGGTCAAATGAAAAATCACGCTTCTAAACCCAGAACTATAAATTAGGATGCACCAAGACAGTAGGAAGACATGAGTTTAGAGAGTTTCAATGGGCATTTTCAGTATAAAGATCAGGAAGTATTTCTTTATGCTGAGGGTAATTAATGACTGGAACAGAAAGAGTTGTTGAACCTTGGACAGTGAGTTCATTTAAAAAAAACAGATGCTGTGATGAGATATTGTAAAAGGATGAGACAAAATCAGCTGAAAAGCTTTCTTCATCCCATCTCATGATCTTGTGTACAAGTGCCCACAAAGACTTGCCACTTCACTCCAGGTACCAGTCTAAAGTCACACAGTCAAAGCAGAAACCCTTCCAAATCTCAGCTGCGACAGGGAAGGGGCCGAATGCTTCCCCACAAATTTGCCCTTCATTTTTATACTGAAGGTTAAATTTAATCATCAATCAAGCTGAACTATTTATAAAGATTGTAACATCTCCAAGACCGGAAAACTTAAACAAGGTCAGCACATTTTTGCAGTTCCTTAGTATTCATTTAAAAATGTAAAGTGGGTTATTGGTAGTTGGCAGTGTTTTATAATTTTCTCTTATGGTCATTAACTTAAATTACGAATGAGCAATGTGACAGGCACAGCTTCTGACCTATCGAAGAGGAAAAGGTCAGAAAATATAAAAACTGATCTTGTAGTATTAGGTTTTCTGCAGTTTTGGGGAGCATATTGTCTGAGACGTTTTTGAGTGAGAAAGAAGTTAAAATTCAACTGAGTAAATAAGTCTTTTTTTTAAAGCAGGTGCTACCTTATCCAGTGAAATCAACTGTATGATAAAAATCAACTGTGCAATAAACACTGCTTTTCCTTTAGAAATGTATTGCACAGGATGCTTTGTTTAATTTTGAGTGGTTGGGTGTTAATTATTGCAGGTGAGAACATTTGGAAAATTAAATCAATCGAATGGATAAAACCAATTGTTATTGGTTATTGTTTTGGGGGAGGGGAAGAAAGAGGATAGGCTGCATTGACTGATGCCAAAAACACTGCAATCGAACCTGAGCTTAAGACAAGCTTGATTTAACAGTCGCCTGGTTTAAAGAACCGATCTGTCTTTAAACAAGGTACTGATGCACTCCAGTTAAACTGGTACTAAGATTAAGCATCTGCAGTCACGAGTAAGCATTTAACAGGTTGCACTGGAATGCCGTCAGTTAAAAATGTTGTGACCATTATTGCACAGCAGAGGTCATCCCAAGAATTCAAGGACAAATCTGTTAGCATTTAATACTGCAAAACAAGTCTCAATCCAGGCAGCTGGAGAGATCCAACAGTGAACTGTTAAAGCAGGAGTCTTAACATCGATTCCCAGCCCTGACTGACATTTCTGTACTTGTTCAAAGAGTACCAGCAGTTGCTGCCGGGGTTACTGGAGGAAAACCTTTCATCTCAGGTGGAAGGTTAACAGAAGACAATCACCCCCCTCACTAGCAGCCACTTTTCAAACGGAGGCTGGAAATCCCATCTCGTCTTAGCCTGTGACATCATTTTCTTTCTTAAACTTTAAAATGGGGCAGAATTATGGAAGATTCTTAAATAAAAATCAGTCCCAATTTTGGAAGCCGGTTTTCTGCTTTCAAAAAGAATTGTTGGTCAAGAATTTTCCACAGTTCCACCCCATTTTGAAGGGCTCCGAGACTCGACCACACATAAAGGGTTTTATATAATTGTAAGATGTTGTTGCAGTGTCTTAACTTTAAAGCAAAATGATCTTCCAGGCCAGGCTAAGGCCATCTGGGATTTTAGGCTCTCTGCTCTCTTCACCCAGACTGTCCTGTCTGCCCTCCTGACTTAAAGAGAGCCTGTGGCTGAGATGCACCGGTGAAGTGACTCACAATAACTGGAGAAGCAAAAAGAAATTGGTATTTGCAAATCAAAAGTTGTAAGTAATGCAACCAATCCAGTTTGTGAGTACTGGATAATAATAATAATAATAATAATAATAATAATAATAATTTGATCACTCAATCCACAACTGCTTGTGGAACACTGCTGTGCACAATTGGTTGCCGCATTTCATCTAAAAAATACAATCAATTCACTTTAGTGTATTCTGTGAAACGCTTTGAGACGTCTTGAAGATGTGGTAAAGCCCCATTTCAAATGCAGGGATTATTATTATTATTACAGCATCTTAAGCCCCGTTGACAGTGAATTCCAGCCATACTCTCCAGTGGGCATAAACTGTGGAACAGGCTGTTGTGTTGGCAGCCATGTCACGTGCTATTATGCACTCAAGCAGGACCCCACACTTCTGTAAGAATTTAAGCTATGCTGTACTGAAGACTGAGCAGACAGCTGACTCACATAAGCAGGTACATACAGTACAAAAGATAAAAAATTGTAGGTCACATTTGGGGCCAAGTAACCATGTGCCGTTTATGTCCCTATTCAACAGAGGGCCACTGAACACCAGAGCAGCAAAGTTTCTGCCCCAACATGACTGGCAGTCATTTTTGGTCATACTGTAAGCATTGATCCTTCAACATTGATATTTCATAAATTTGTTGTGTTATTTGTTGTAAATATCCCCTTCACTGAGCACATCATCATGCTATAGAGTGAGAGAGCCTGATACAATGTTACACAACATTTACACATTGTGGGAGGAGTTCGTAAGGTCTGTGTGATTAAACGCTGCTCAAAACATGCACAGTATTGTCATTTTTGACATTCATGACAGTTTTTTTTTAGGCACCTGAAACAGAACATCTGGCTCCGATTTGTGCTAATCTATAATTTATTCCATTCTTATTGGGAAGATAGCAAGATTGTTTTTAGTTTCAATCACACAAACATACCCATGAACAGACATTGGGAAAAGGAATCTTTCCAGGCCTCACTAAAACAAAAGTCTTTGAAGACAGACTGTATTGTAGCTTGACAAATGCAAAACTACCTGTCTGAACTGTACTGTTACAATACTGCAGTCACCAGGAAACAAATACTTCCAAATTCTTTTGATTGACAAATTCACGAGATTTCCCTGAATCCAGATATCAAGAACAGCAAGTAAACCTTTTTCACCCTCCAATAATCCGGCTTTCAAGCTGCTACAAGAATTTAAGCTTTGAAGTGAACAAAATCTAAATTAATTTGTAATGGAAATAGGATTGAGACAATAATTTCACATCCTTTTAAAAAAATGTTGCTTCATTGCAGAAATAATAGCAGAAAGCCCCAGCATTAATATCCATCCACCTGCCAAATGAATAGGAAGGCTTGCGCTACTCTCTTCTCCCTTACCTGCAAGAGCTTTGATCCTGGAACGCTCGAATAATCTTGCCGAGCTGTTGTCATTATCTAGTTCATCTTCATCAGAGAGTTCCCAGCGAGCGTTGATGTGGCTGTATTGCTGTTGGATTTCCACATTATCGAAATCTGTGGCTGATGTCATTGTGGTGGCTTCGGAGATTCTCTCCTCTCATTTACCACGGAATGAGGCCTCTGCAAGAAGAGAAAACAACTTTAAGGACACAGTGGTCACTTGATGGAAATATTCAAGGTGTACATCCTGCAACATGCCATTCCGTGTGGCTGTCCACACAAATGATCATTTTACACTGGAGGCTTCCTTCCATCTGTTGTCAGATAATGCAGCAAGAATGGTGCAAGCAGCAGTGCACATTCAGAGCCTATTCTGCCCAGTAGATGGAGGTATTGCATGCAAGAACCCACTGCAAAACATTAGCTAGGTACTGCACTTAATACAATTTGCCTCGCAATAAAGACGTCAGCGGCAAACTGTTATGCGTGTAACAAACCATGAAGAACAGTGACTGTCTAACAAAGGAACCACCTCAGGCAAATTAATGAAAGCTCAGTTCAGTTACCAAATCTTTTTTTTCCCCCGTTGTAATTTTATAGAACCACTTTCTTTCAAGGAACTTATTTTCAGAAAATTCCTTTGGGGGTTGAAACTGGCTAAGTATAATTGTTAAGCAGCTGTGAGCTCTATACTGGAGCTGCTGTGGACAGTTCTGCATTTGTACATCAAAATGAACACAAATGCACCTGCATTCTGACTGCCTGCCAACACAAGCTGTGTGCCTCACGTGGACTCAATAGGTTTTGTGGACTCGATGCATGTGATGACCATTTGACCATACAACTTGATACATAACCTGGTCATGTGCTTTTTAAAACACTGACAACAGGAAGACTTTTGACAACCATCACAGAAAACTGCTTACTTTTTGAACCAGTGTGAAGTCTTTCATTATAAAACGCAAAGGCAAGGCACATCAAATACAAAAGCAAAGCTTTGTATAACAACATGATCTCTCTCACTCACATTCCAAACCATTACAACCAGAACTATTGCAACCAAATAAAAACAATGGACAAGGATGTGGGGCCCAGTCGGAGAATTAATAGCAGAAGAAAGACAAACACTTGATGCTAAATTGCTTATCGGTGAACTTGAGTTCAAGTCAATCTCAGGTGATTGGCTCTAGGAGCTGCGAATATCAGGAAATGATCAGAGTGACAAATTCTAATTCCCTAGCATTCCATAGGCTACCTTACAAGAGTTTATCAATGGAATTGGACTAAGTTTACACACTTGCTTTCTGCAGTCTCATTTGCCCCTATGTATTTGCTACTAATGCAACCCATTTGAGATGACTTCAGGATCACACCACAGTCCTTTAATATTGCTTTCCAGCCTTTCACAATCTCTTATTGACTCAGTTGCTTCCTCTTTGTTTGTCTGGTTATTGGTTTAAAGATAAAATCTCTTCCCAAATCTGAACTGGGGTCCATTCTTCTTCTTGGAGGCTGAACCTGATGCAATTGTGCTTATTGAAGAGCATTTACTAAAGGGGGTGAGGGGACGGCTTTCTGACCAAATAAGAATAAACGCTGCCAATGTATCCTCTATAACTTGCGTACAACCAAGTGCAATTAACAAAACAAGAAAGTAATTATCTGATAATACACCCAAAGTAATGCCTTATAATTCCATTGTAAACTTCGTACTTTTTTAAAAAAATTGTGTAAATTCAATTATTATTTAGCACGCTTCATGAACCAGAGGTAGACAAAAAATACTATTTCCACCATGAACCCAAATGAAATAAAACAACCTGTTATTTTGCTTTGATTAGAATGCTATGGGTACTTTTAATTCATCTGCACACATAGTTTTGTACAGAGCACATAATCCACCTGCAATTACACATGGCTAACACTCACTGTATAATTAAATCCAAGGTCATAGCAGTGGAAAGCAGTGTTGAACATTGCTGCCAGTTCACACTGAAGAGCACTTTCACATACAAGTGCACTTAAAATAATCCAAGCAGTTCATTTAAAATTACCTTCCAATGGAAATTGTTCTAGTTAAAGCTTACTAAGACTTTGGGGGCAGGAACCACAAAGTTCTACAGTTTAGCTAAGGGGACACATTGCCATTTCTACCTTATATAACAGTGGTGAATGAACTTGAGGTATCGAGGAGGGCTGCACATATCTTGATATCCATTACTAAACCAAGTAGACGTGGGGAGTGGGGGTGGCTGCCAGAGTTTGAAATCCCGCACCACAATTTCATTGGTAGCTTTAATATATGGGCAGGACACTGCGGATTGCATTCTTACACTCTGAAATGTCAGACGAACAGATTAACATCTTGGGGGAAGTATCCAAAAAATAACTAATCGCTCACAAAATATCTCTTCTGTACGAAACAATTGTTGCACTGAGATATTTGCTGATCACGTTAATAATTAAGTCATAAAAGAGCCACTGGGTACAATACGCATTCACGCTAAAAAAGAATTTAAATTGAGAGAAACTTCCCGGAGAGAATCTGTTTCTGGCTAACATGTGCAGATATGTAACGGTTGGTGATGCTGCGTTCTGTAACTGTCATGAACAGCGGTTTGCGATTTCTAGGAAAACGCTTTAAGGTGTGGCTCATTGATAACCGTATCACTGGGCTTACTGGCCATGCCCAGTATCTCAAGAGGCCAGCTGCAAAAGGTCTGTTGCAAACCCAACGCACATTTCATGCTGCAGAGTTTCTTTCCGCACAGGTTCACGACTTGGATCCAGAATTAGGGCAAGACCACTGCTGCCACACCAACTGCTGAATTCCTAGCTCCTGCCTTTAAATATCTCAGATAGTGCTCTATCAGCAACAGCTGTTGACCATCCCAAGTCCCTGCATATTTAACAGGGAGTGGCAGCATTGCAAAAGTCATTCACTCGGTCATCTTTAAGGTATGCAGCCATTTATTCTTCAGTAATTAATTTCAAGCATAAAGCACGTTGTGGTACCCATGTTGGTTTTGTACGCCACAGAGACAAAACAGCAAGGCCGCTTGACATCTCCAAACTGAATACAAACTACCACTTCACCAAGCTGTGCAGAGAGGGAGAAAACAAGTTTCTGCTGGTAAAAAGTCTGGATGGAATTGTACATTTCGATTGCAGAGAAAAGTTAAATTTTAAAACATTTTTCATTGTATGAGTGATCATAAATGGAATCTAAGATATTTCTGCCCAGAGTAAATTAGTTATCTCCTTTAAAGTGGGTTTGGAGAGATATGATGACATAAATTCATAAACTGAAAACTATGTTCTTATTACTAAAGAAATGGTGAATATTGAAACAGCTGCAAAGGCTAGACTGCACAGCTGGAGTTTGTTTCATCAAATCATTTGCTCAGGAAACACAGGCCTGCTTCAAGTCCCCAATCTGCTCCACCCCACCATCTGTGGGTGAACTTTTATGCATTCTGTGCCAGCTCTCTGGGACTCTATCCCAGAGTCCTTCCACCTTGCCTTCTCTTCAAAACCCACCTCAAGTCCTACCTTTTCAACCGAGATCTTCGGCGACTACAGTTCATCATGCCCATGATGAAGAATTTAATCTATGCAAATGCCAACACACTAAACCCTGTTTCCACTATCAATTTGATTTACGTCAACTCTCTTCAGGAGGCAGAGACTTGATTATCTTCAATAAAGGCATTGAAATTCAGGACATGCCTTTATGCTCTATAATTAGTTAATATGTTGTCGTGTTTTGCCTAGCGTCACTGCTATTTTAGTAACTGGGTCACTGTTTTCCCAACAGAAATACTTTGACAGCCAATTCCAGAAACACATCAAATGCTTCCGTCATCACCTCAACATAAAAGGAATGTCTCTGCCAACGTTTTCCAACTGCATCAAGGTGACTGGTAAAGCACAGCAAGAAAATTAGCTCGGTTTTACTGCAGTACCTCTTTTTGCAGCTATGCAGTATGGTCACTAAACCAACCTTTACTCTCCATAAAGATTAATGTTGGTGCTCAATGGTGTTTGTACGCATTAGAACCATGACAATCACAAAACCATTGTGAAATGCAATAGCAATGGAATGATGCTCCCTTAACATGCAACAGTGAACTGAATCACCTCCAAGCAATCTCATGGGTGTGTGGGCTATTCAAATAAAATACCCTCAAATAATTGGGTTAAATTTGTAGTACTTTTCCTTAAACACACATTTGAGAATTTTTTCGGTAAACTTTAAAAAAATTACATTTAAGCCAAAAATCATAGTTGTAAAAAAAACACTATTATTAAAAATTCAATTCACTCTGTAATTTAGTTATATTTGGGGTGGGAGGGGAATACTTTAAACTTAAAAAAAAGGGTTTGAAGGTATAACCTTTGGAAGATTTTTTTCTTCACCATGTTTTGTTTCATCTCCTGAAATTAAGGTTCAATTTAATAAAGAGGAACCGACCTTAGTAACAAGTCCTCACCTTTTCAGCTTTCATTTTACATGGATTCTGTGTTGAAAAAAATACAAAATGCCATTTGGTAAACAATTACTTCATCCACTTGTTAGATGGATGCATCATGTATAAAATGGATTTTGTTTCTCTCCCACTGGAAGCAACTGGACCATTTCTTTCCTGACGCATTGCACAGGTTTCCTTTCCTCCAGAGTTTTCACATTGAAAGATTAACTGCCAGAATGTAAACCAGTACTGAGGCTTGTAAATCAACATGAGAACATGTGATATGAGCTCTGAGCCGTTCTACCACCAGCGTGACAGAAAATCCATTCTCAAATATACAATGAATAAAACAAAATTGGGCTTGTGCCAAGCAAGGCAAAACAAAATCAGATGGTGGGGCAAAAATCATCTTGTTGATATCCAAGAACTTTTTTTCAGTTCAGTCTTGGTTTAAACTATAAATAATATACTCATGTTATCAAGGTGGTCCTCTACATTGCCACATGTACATGTGTAGCTGTTATTGAAAAAAAATGCATAAGACTTCAAATATCATTCTCCTGGTATATTGCAAAGTATACCGAAATATTCCATTATGTTATCTGAGCTTTATCTTAACTTGCTCCACAAGGAATTGAGCAACATCTTCCAAATTCAGTTTACATAGTGGTTAAGATTTTTTCTATCCGAGGAGTTCTACTGGTCTCTACAAACCTCCTGATCCATAAAGATGCCCTCAATACATTGAAAGCTTCTTTTGTTAGGACACGAGGGTGAGTGTGAAAAGAAGCACGTTTGATTTTCCTTACCAGGTGGATAGAGACTGATGCAGAAAACCTTCAAATATTGTCTCTACTTACGAAACACACCAAAAATCTTTCCGAATTCAAAACAAATTAATGTACTTTAGTTATGGTCAATCACGCAAGTTTTGACATTAATAGATATCACTAGAATGTGTGAATCCCTATTGTAAAATGTTATAATATATAAAGCCTGGCAGTCCAAAGCAATTCACACTTCAGTCATCACACCGATTTAGGTGTGTCATCTTGCTTAATGCATTTTGAAAATGGTGTTGACCTCCACTGATGAAATAACAGCCTTAAAATCAATATCTCCCTGAAACATTTGTCATGCTCTAATGTTATTGATCCTGACGGTGAAGATAATTATCTATTCGTCTCCCCAGCCAAACAAATTATGATAGCGACGAACTAAAACACTTATTCAACACTGCTCTTTATATATCTAGGGTATATATAGTTAAGACAAACAAGTTTCCAAAGGATCACTGCTACCAAAGAAATGCTTTCCTGAGATCCACAGAGCACATACTGTTTAGAAGGTTATCAAATTTTATATTTTTATTGCTAGCTAAAATACAATACTTTGTTAATAAAACGTTTTGACACCACTTGAAGTCATTTACAATTTAAAAACAAATTCAATATTTAAAGTTTTAGATTTTGTTTTGTACTGTTACAATATTGGTTCTGTCTGCACACATTGCGCATCTATGCTCCAAACTGATATGGTTTTTTTTACACTCCGTTCAAGGTGAAGATGAAACTGCTCCTGATTGTAGTTGTCGAAATGCAGTTGCACAAGAATTAGCAGTTCCATCAGATTGAAAAAGGAGCACCAATGAAACCCAGCATACAACTCCAAATCCCTGTGCCTCCAGAATGTCTTTGTAACAAACATATTTCCTGAAAACACTCATACGCTTTCTTTCAGTCCTATGCAGCAACTTATACTGACTTCACATTGAACTGTTTGAACATCTCAATCCACTATTAGTTGCTGCATTCTTGCCTTAAGGCTTCCGTGTCATATTTCTTTTTGCAATAAGTATCCTCATACCAATGAGCCAGTCACAGTATTGCTGAATCATAAGAAATTGTGTTCTAACTACTTTCCCCAAAATTGCTATCCAAAGATCTCAAGTGCCCTCTTTGCATCTCCTGCAGTTAGTTGAGTGTGTATGTCACTGATACCAGTCTACAGGGAACACAGTGGTTGTAAATGACTACTTTTAAGGTGCTTTAGGAGAAGTCTGCAATTTATCACGGTTTGAATTTCGGTTTCTCAGATATTTATGAATCATACAGCATAAACCCTACTCAGGTTTCCCACAACATCCCTTTTCCTTTTCTTACAGATATCCTGCCCACTGCCTGCAGCCCAAACACCTTTTCTCGAGTCCTGCTGAATAAAGCCATCCTCGTCAACAATGGCACCTAATGTTTTGCTTTGTTGCAAACATAAAACCAGGATCAAACTTTTCTCATTTCTTTCATCCCTCCGATCTTTCAATATCTCCATTATTCCCAGGTCAATGTTCGATATTGATCTTGGTTACAGTATCCATGACAGCAATCACCATTTAGTAATTCCTTGGCATTCTCATAAATAATCAAATAGAATAATGTAATAGAACAATTGAACCAGCTCACTACTTGTGCAATGAATCCAATAACCAGTAACAATATGTTTTTCCAAACAAGTAAAAAATAAATGCATGGCTCTTCAGCACACGATAATAATATGGACAAGGAGCAAAAAAATCTACAGAAAATTAAATGGTCCACTGTCCAAAAATTAGATCAGTATACAAAGCATTCTTTTTATCAGAAGGTTCCTATTATTTCACCTTTGCGCTACATATTTTGCATATAATCCCCCACGATTAGGTTTGAGGTGCAGCTCCCAAGAACAACTCAAATTCAGTCACTACAATCTACAGTATATCCTGTGAAACACTTCAAGATGTCCTCCCAGCGTGAAAGGTGCCATATCAAATGAAAGGATGTATTATCATTAACAATGGGCACACGATCAGGTTCTAGGACTCCGAAAACAGTTCATTAGAACAATGAAAATATGCCAGGCACCAGGATGTCTACTATCATATTTACAGCTCAACAGAATGAAATAATTTGTAAGAATTTCATTCAAATAAAGCCATGCAGCTTTTCAAGGTAACATGATTTGCAAGCAATGGACCTCGAGTTCACAATGACATTTGGGTGATAAACCTTGGTGAAGTGCGACTAAATCCAGTTTCAATTTACATATTGTTATTCACATGAAATTAAATGTTGACTCGAGTGCACCTGTAATTTTCCAATTGCTTAAAATAAACTCTGATATTATGCACGTATTGAGTACAATCCCCTGCTCAGCAAAGCTCTTGCTCTCTACACACCTGACAGATATGACAGACTAGCATTTTAAGCATCGCAGCCTAAAAATAAACAATATTTTAACAAGTAAATGACAGCTTTCATATTCTACGGTGGCTAAGCCTTGTGAGATACTCACAAAATATACTAACTTTAAGAAGAGAGAAAAGAAACTCTATATTGCTACGACATGACTTGTTCTTATAAACACCTAGTCTAATAGCCGTGAGAAGAAGTCCAAACAAGTTTTACTCAATGTACGAATAAATGGAGGGAGGTAGTTAAAACCCAGCATCAAAGCTATTAAATCCACTTAATAGCCCCCTAAGCTCGGAGTCCATAAATATCAGCACAATCAAATACAAAGAACTAAACCTTCTTGTTTACAAACTATTTAAAAACTTCTACTTGATTTCAGCACTACAAGTGACTAGTTGTTCCGTAACATTAAAACCGCTCAACTGAAAGTTCCTTAGTCATGCAATGCACTGATCGAGAACTCTTGAGGTACCATTGGAGAGTGGAGTGGGAATCAATTTGCACTGCTGCATTTATACTGCAGTGAAGTAAACTGAAGTGCTGTGGAAACCATTTCCTAAAGGTAATTTCAGCAGGAGAGCTCCAATGTGAATTGTGAAAGAACCACTGAAGTAACTTGGAAAATGCATCAGAAAACTCATCGATAAAAAAAACCTTCAAGACAGGTTTTTTCGGGTTTTCTCTCTGCAATTAAGACTCGTAGATTTAAATTAAGAAAAGAGGTTAACAGCTTGATCTGTGTAAATCTACCTTCAACTCTGAACAGAATGCACTTAGATAAACTTGTAGTAACATGTTAGTTTGATTGCATTATGACAGACCCTTGAAGCAAATAATAATAATCCTTACAATTAATCACAGTGCCTTATCAGGTTATCGAGAGTTCTCAAAATGCTTCACAGGATTCTACTCTGACGTGTAGTGACTGTATATTTGTAGACAAACATGACAGCCAATTTGTACACAGCTATTTCCAAGAAACAGCCATAAGGTGAATGAGCTTTTTTTCCCCCAATATTGGCATCAAATAGATATCAAATTGGGCTCAGAAATTACTTTTTTAAAAAAATTATAATATACTACTACATTTGGTACAGTGCCTTTTTTATCGGGAGGACGTCCCAAAGTGCTTCACAGGATATACTGTAAAGTGCACTGACTGTATTTTGTGCGCCAATGCTTTGAGACTGAAAGCTATTTTTGTTATTCTTTACACTTTATAATAATATATGACGAAGGAAATCACACCATCTGAATCATACAATAGGTAACACAGCCAGCTACCTGCCAACTTCATGTTGCGCAAACTAATAAACACCAAATTGGAATAGCAGTTTTTAGCACCACTACATCAGCCGTCCAGTGTTGTGAGATGTTGCTAAGCTGTCACCACAACACAGACATTTTCTTGGTCCAATTTCTATCATGGATTAAACCGTTAGCGTCATCAGATTGCTCTGACACATCACCTAAACATTTCATAAAATTTCATTCATGAGACTCAAATATTGCAGCTGTTGATCTCAATTAAATATTCACATGACACACAAAACAGATGGGAGTATTTCAACAGCTAGTCTTTTACAAACCTCACCAAAGAAAGGGAAGAAAATAGAGGAACTATGCCAAAAAGGCTCTAAATTAGGCATCAGAGTAAATATTTAATGATGGGTCATTTATATTCAATGATGGCAGATCCCATAGAATCATTTACATGGTTCATTCTACAAATAATGAAATGATCTGGTCCTGTTCAAGGAACATATTTCATGAAGTTTAGCAAACAATTTAGAGTAATCTGAAGTCAACTCAAACACCTTCTACAAAATTACTCAAAATATTCTCACATGCAATGTTAGGTTTAAGTCACACAATGGATTTGGAACAAATTAGATTATGTTTGCACATGTTATGTCACCCTTTATACGTTTGATTCTATTGTTTGATGGCGATGAACTGAAACACATGGTATTTTCTAGGTAGGTAAGAGCTAGAAGATCAACACTTGTGATACTATCAAGTTTCCAGTTAATTTTATTTTAAATATTTAAGCGGTCGGGTGTGTAAATGTTGATACTTTTGAAGTTGGGCTTATCCCATGTGGGCATCTCTAATACTCTGCCACGTAGGGAAATCCCACATCTTAGAGGCGTCCTCTAAAGGGGATTCCGAGCAGAAACAAAATATTGTACTTTTCCAATGGGCAAAAAAATTGGTGCATGAGCCAATCCAGTTTGCTCTTGCACACCTCCTGGTGGCCACGTACTGATTGGCCTCAGCAAAACCCTGGAAAGATTTCCCCATCTTCTCAGTTAGTTAATGATAAGTGGCGTGTCAAAACCTAAAGGGAAAATAGGGTAGGGGGTGGGGAGGAGGAGCAGAAAAAAATAACTAATGAATAGGAAGGGATAAAAATATATTCTTTAAAAAATTAATCCAAGCTTATCCTCACCAGTATCAATAAACTTGTATTATTGCTTTCAATCAATTATGTAGTATTAAGTAGTTCAACTAATTCCATTAGAGAATCTAATTTACCTCAACGCATGTTGCAACTACTCTCATACACTTAAAAAAAAGCTCCCTGGATTGCAGTTACTTGATACATTGGGTTTGTTATTAAAAGAGCAGTTTGGTTCAGATACATACGTTAGACAAGTCCCTTCTCAATGTTCCTGGTGCTGTTTAATCCTTCAGCCTTGTGTTCTTGTGGATCTGTGATGATTGAAGTGACCTACAAGTAATATGTGCCTGCCTTAATGTCACTGTGGGGGGGAAGGACTGGGTGTTGGCCTAGAGTGATCAGTCGACCATGCTGTGAACAGCTGCTGGTAAATGTTCTGAATCCTGGCATGAAGAAGTTATTATCAGTCTGCAAGAAGCTCCGATTTCTTCTAATGAGCTTGGGTAGTGAGTGCAGTGCTCATACGAGTTCAATTCCCAACTGTCAGGGATTGAAACACAACTCTCTGGCATTACAGAAATGTGCTTCTGCAAAAAGGCTTCACATTGGCTTCAAATGTAAAATCTACATTATCAATAGATGTGAACACTTCAAACAAATCATGTGTGTAGCACTTTATCATCTCCTTCTATCTGTGATGAAGTACCATATAAATTATTGATGAGTTTCAGCTGACTCACTGCATTTCATTGCTTGAGCTTAAATGACTTTGCCCATTATTTCTCCTGTTGTGAAAAAAAATGAATCCTTCATTTCATATCACAAGCAACATCTGCAGCAAAGAGCCACTGCACAGTTCTTAAATAGGAAAGGCCTTTAAATAGTAAACAAGCGCTGTAGCCAAGTTCTGGTTGTGACTGGCTTGTCTTTCAGGTGCACATATACAAAAAAAGCTCACAGAACACTGGAGAATAGCTCTGCAGTGTGGCACAACTCAAAAGAATTTTTGTTTTTGGTCTTTATTTTTTTCCTAATATCTGGCAGGCATCAATTCTGTTCTGCATGTGAAAAAAAGCTTTCAGTTTCAGTGTTTTTTTCAAAACAGAAGTATATCAAGGCTGTTTCGAAATTATCCAGCTTGAATTATCTTTCTACAAAAAATGAAGTAGAACTGATGTTTTTTATATTTATGACTACTAATGTTCCTCTCATTATTAATTTAGTGGTTAGCTTTTTCCACACAAATAAAGTTCCAAGTCAAACTGAATGAGGATAAAGATTTTGCCTTGTAATGACTCTTAAGATTGGCAATTCAACAATGCAGTCAGTGTACTACGAACTTCCCTCTAGTGCATGTGTTTCTTTGAACATTCTGTAGTCTGACTAAAGGTATTGCAAATTATTTCCTGTAGCCAAGCTGCAAAATAAATATAACCTTGCATTGTAGTATTTTATTATCTTGCACAATCTTAGTTTGATCCCACATTTGTTTCTCACCCAAAGGGGCTGTGATAATGTATTGTTTCCAACCATTAACACCCTAATTCTAACCCTAATTGGGCACAGTTTATGCATCAAGTATTAAAGGAGTCAGGGCATTCAGAATAGTAAGTAACCAATCGTTTCAAAAATAAAACCTACTGGAAACTTGGACTGCATAGTAAATTAATGCATTACATAGTCTTATCGGGGATGAGGTTTTATTGGTGCAGAGAGACCAGAGTAACTGGGACTGTTCGAAGGGCTTTTACAATTATTCAGGGTTTTCATAAAGAACACAGTTCTACTGATCAGTGAGTCAATAACAGGAGCGCAGTAATTTAAGGTAATTACTAAAAGAGCAAAGGGAGATTTTTTTTACTCACAGGACTCATAGAAATAGGATTTTTAGGTCTTGGAATGACCGCTCTCCTGGTTGGTGGTTGAGGCAGAATTCACATTAGCTTTCAAGCAGGAATTAGATAAATATCTGAAAACTAAAATTTGATATATTCTTCCCGTTACTCCAAGTGGGTTCAATGAGTCCATTGTCCTGGTCTCCAACTCTCTTTATCTCCATCCATTGACTTCCCTCTACGTAAAGAAATGCTTTGCAGAAGTTTCTCCTAATTTTACCTTTTAAAATCTGCATTTTCAAAATGTTACATTTTTGATTTTATTTTAGTAGTTTCATGACTTTCACTGTTACTTTGGGGGTATTGACAGATGAACTCTGGTGCTGCATATTTTAACAGCAACTCTAAACCGAGGGGTCAGAACAAAATCACACATATGCAAAGGGTAAATGGAGATATTGTGAGTGGCTGCGATATTACTACTCTCTTTCATTTGTCAGCTGTTTAGTGCAGAAGAATTCTAACATGTGAAGATAAAGCCAAACAACCATGAGCACCATTTTAGCACAGGCTACGGAGTAGCTACATTTAGATAATGTCATCTCAGCAGAAAACATTCACAATATTAAATTGCTACTAAACTCTCTTGGAAATATCATCCAATATATAATTTTATTTTAA